CGGAGGCGGGGCCCCATCCCCCCCCCCAGTCTTGACGGGCGATTTGCTAGTAAATACATAAAAGGGGGTGGGGGTGGGGGGGTAGGTTGTAGCCGTGTTGGTCTAAGGACACAGGCAGACAAGGTTCCTTGGGTGAATCTGATCTCTTTTACTAGACCAACCCAAATGGTTGGAGAATAGTGATTAAGCAAGCTTTCGGGTTCAAAACCCCTTCGTCAGGCTCAGGAAGCTGCAGCAGTTGGTGTGTGCTCTTCCTGGATGGAAGGGGGGGCGGGATGTATCGATGTAGTGGTGTGAGGGGCTGTGTTTCCATGTGTCTGTGTGTGCATGTATGTGCAGACCTATGCGTGTGGGGAGAGAGAGCTGGTGCTATGTGTCCATCTGGCAGGCAGCCCAGGGAGGGGTGGCGTTAGGGCAGGGTGCGGGGGCTCGCGTGGCAGCGGTGGCTGGACGAGCAGGGTGGGCGCTGGCGGGCAGCACCGGGGCGCGGGGAGCGCCTGCCCCTCCACAAGAGCGAGGGCAGCAAACTGGGGGCAACTGGTCTTTAGTGCCCTGAGCTGGGGCTTGGGGAGGCAATGTGGGGGGACGGGCTGAGGACTGTTACAGGAGGATGCAGGGTGCCACGTGGGCATGGACCTCCTCTCGGGCAAGGGCTGTCAAGGCTGCCCCTCCTTCCTGCTGGCCTTCCTCACGGGCAGGTCCTGCACCCGGCCCAGCTGCGCTCTGGCTTCTCCCCCCTGCTCCCCGCGGAGGCTGCGGCAGAGCTGCCCCAGCGCAGAGCGTCCTCGGCCCAGACTACCGACCGGACCCGCCTTGCGAGGCTGCCGAGGGGCTCCGTGAAGGGAGCACACTTCACCTCCCGTGCCCTGGACACGCTGCATCCCACCACCCGTCTCTCCCGGATCTCAAGGGCGCTGGGGAGCTCCTACCAACTACAGGCCTCAGCACAAGTGCTTGGCAGCAATGGGGCGGCCCCCCCACCTCGCCTGCCCTGCTGATCCCCTCTGTCCTTAGGGACGTACTTCCTGTGCCCACACGGCCAGGGCAGGCTGTGGACCCGACCCTTCCCGCGGTGACAGGCAACCAGACAAGGCGAGGACCCGCTCGTACTAGAAACATCATTTATTGACTCGGCGCCTGCCCCAGCAGCAGGACGAGCCCTGCTGCTTCGTCTGTCGAGGAAGCTTACAGGGGACGGGGTTGAAGACACTCGCGAGATTGGAACAAGGGGCTGATGGGGTAGAGCCGGGCGCTCTGCGCTGCTGGCACCATCCAGAGGGCAACACGGTGCCAGGACGGGCAGGCTGCTGCGCCGTGCTGTTCCCGTGGCCGCGCACACGCCGTACGGCTTGGAGACGACAGTGCTTAATGGGTTGGCTGGGCCCTCGCAGGCCGGCCTGCACCACCCCCGTTTCAGGGGACACCAGGTGAGGCCCCCAGACAAGGACTGAGCCTGCTGGCTGCCTTCCACTGCTCCTGCTTCTGTGCTGGAGGGAGGGGGCCGCAGCCACCGACGGCGCCCGGCCCTCTGGATGAAACGGCAGCCCGGCAGGCTGAGACTTGCGAGGCGCCGGGGACGGACGGAACAAGCCTTTGCCACCAGGTGACAAAGATGCAGCGAACCCAGAACGTGTGACGTCGTCCGCGCAGGAGGGCCGCAGCGCCGCCGAGGCAGAAGGTAGGGCCACGTACAGGGGACACCCGGGCGCTTCCCTGCACACGACGGCGTCTAGGACTGGCTGGTGTGGATCTGGGGCAGAGGGGGCCGGGCAGGATCCTTCGCAAACTGTTCTGTCTGCTGCTGGCCCCTCCCGGCCCCCCCACGACCACCCCAACTCCCAAGTGTTCGCAGGATGCTGCGCGGGTGAAAACCGGACGGGCGCGTCCCCAGGAAGCCCTGGGGTGTGATGGGTGCAGCAGCTGGCGACACAGGCCGGCGGCATCCCGAACCGTCTGCACTCTCGGGCTGCGGGGCCCCGGCAGGCGGCAGGAATTTGGCTCGAGTGTTTGGGCAATTTCTGAAGGCGCCTGCGAAAGACTCGCATCCCCCCGTCGCCCCAGAACCCACCATGGGAATCCGCTCCCCCTCCCTGCTACAGTCACGCTTTGTCTTCAGAGATGCTTCCGTGTGTCCTGCCTACTCCTCCTCCTCCTCCTCCTCCTCTTCTTCCTCCTCCTCGTCGTCATCCTCATCATGGCAATGTGTGATTTCCTGTGGGGTCTGCGGGAAGAGGTTGGGTGGCTTGATCTCGCTGATGGAGCGGGTCAGCTGGTGCCGCTTGTAGTCGGAATCCTTGAAGTCCACCGA